CGTGATGCTGGATCGCCGAACGCTGAAGCCCAGCATCTCGAAGGCCTTTGTAAGCTCGTCGATGGAAAGGCCCCCTGCGAAATTCCTCAGCACTGTCATTGCACCCACGGGCCTTGAAACTCCCATATGAATGCCTGTAGACACTGACGCAGCAGCATCTGTGCGATGTCGTTGATGTAGGCAGAATAGCGCTGCGGCAAGGCCAATGAATATTCATTGATGATTAATCGGCATATTAATCATCAATGAATATTCCATGGTTTGAAGCAGCGCTGGAAAAGCGCCAACGCTTTCCAATACTGAAAGATGGTCATTGGTTGAAGCGCTGCTAGCAGGCGCAGCGCCGGTCATTGCACAATTGATAATGGAGCCACATAACTGCATAAACGTTCACTTATGTGGAAAATCGGCGTGTTTTCCAGATGCCCCAGCTTGTCGAAATCAGCCTCGGTCTTCATGAGGCCTTGTTGCCCTTATTGCACGCAAGCACTTGCGCTTAACTGTGCAACTATTAGGCTGCTGAATATCGCGTTACCTTTTAAAATGGCAGGGGAAGGCGCACGAATGCACTCGTACTCTGTGACAAACGCGCAATAGTCCGCACGTGCGACGACACCGCCTCCCTCCGCAAGAACGAAGAGTAGGCGGTGACTGGATAAAGCTCCGTATATTTCCTCAATCGTTGCTGCACAGTTTGGTTCCATTATTACACGACAAATACACGATGTAGCACGAAATTTACACGATTTTGAGCCATCCTACAAGGTACGCGATCTCGAAAAGCGTATATTTTGGCCTTGTTTTACTAGTGCTATGAAGAGGCGAACTTCAATCTTTGCGAGAACATAATAAACATGTCACCATGTGCCAATTTATGTGTTGGACTGAGTGTGAAGTTGCATACAAAAAAATAATGGCGACAAATTATCCCTGCGTATCTTTCAAGACCTAATCTGCTTAGAATCCCTTCAGATTTGAAGCGCTTCTTAATGCGTCAGCACTTGTTGGAGTGCCATGCAAACCATGAAAATTTAAAGAATTTTGGGTTGAATTATTTTAAGCAGGTGCTGGGGTAAATTTCCCCATCAAATCTTCATTTAAATGGCCCTCAATGGTTCGCTGCCACGCCATGTCCTGCAGGCCTCTCACCTGAACCATCTTCGTCCAGTAGGTCAAAGCATTCCTTGATCTCTCTCTCTTGGGCCATTGTGAGTCGTTTTTGTGGGGTCGCCACTCCTCGCTTCTTCATCCATTCGACCATCTGGGCACGGATAACTTCCAGTCGCGCCTGTCGCCATCCCTTTCCCTGATCGATTCACAAAGAGGCGCCATGAATGCGCGTGGCCACATTAGCAAACCTCACGCACAGGGCCTGGCGTGGTAAGATTGCGTAGCTGCACGTGGAATGGAGATATTGATAAGGAACTTGGTCGGAAGAAAATCTGCAAGCAGTGCTGTGTATGGCAAGGTGCGCCTCGAACAGATGGCCCTCTGTTCGAGGTGCACATTGCCGATATACAGGTACCATGGTACCTCTTTCGGAGCCCGCCAACAGCAATTTGGCTCAAACGGATATGCGCCCAACAGGACAAACGAATGAGGCCTAAATTGAATTTGATGCAATCGACTGACTGCAGGCATAAGGGATAGTTGGCCTGCCCTGCAGCTACACTGGGAAGCAAGGCCGAGGCGTGTGTGCATTGGCACAAAGCGCGTTCTGGCATGCAGCATATGCATCTGTGGTCACCGAGCGCTGAACTGCAATGTACGTGCCATTTGTTGGGTCTGCTTATAGCTGCTCCAATACAGGCATTGATAGTTCAGGTGTGTAAAAGCGTAACATCAGCGGATTAAGCACGAGGTTGACCTCTTCACGGTTATCTTTACGCCCGTGCGGATATTGCACACGTATTTGCAAATAACGCTGACTCCAGTCAATGCCGTTAACGCCCGCCTACTCATTCGCGCCGACGCAACCACCTGGTCTCCCTCCCAGGTAGTCCCTCTCTCTCGACCCTCCATTGGACGCGGTTCGGCGCCCTCTTGCGCTCTTACGTCAGCTCGCGAAGGTCGGTGCTCCCAGGGGTGCAAGCGAGCGACGCAGGTCTTGCGAAAGTGACGTCAGCTTCCAGTGCGCAGGTCGGCGACAACCGCCGGGCTTGCGCGAGGCCGGCGAACAGAACACAAACTGACCCGCGCCCGTCCAGTGAAGGCGGACACTCGACGGGTTGCTCCCGCCAACGAGGGCTGTTTGCAGAGAGTGTGCTCGAAGATCAGCTTCCCGATAGTTTCTGAATTGCTGCGAACGGCGCGGGTTCGGAAGGCGCCCGGCAGAACACGCCAGGCGTTTCTCGAACGCATTGGACGGTTGGCAGGCAGGCAGCTTACGACATCCATGGGGCAGCGGAGAGCCGTCCGGCGGTATGCGAGACGATGGGCGCAACCAACGGCCGAGTGGTCCAATGTTCGTTCTCGAAGCCGCCTCCAGCCTGCTGTTCATGTGGCGCTGGTCATTAGAAAAACAAAACAGGCCAAAATACACTGCTTTGAAAGTGGTGGCTCATCGATGCACCCGTGTACCGTGTAACACGATTGAAGGTCGTGTAAAATCGAGTAAACTGTAAATTTATCGTATAAAGTTGGAACCAAAAGGTGTGGTAACGATTGAGTGAGTATACGAGATTTTTTGCTCGTTTTGACGCGGTTTTGCACGCTTTTTACACGGTTCGAAACCGTGTATTCTTGCCGATTTTTACTTGCAGTTTCTGGCTGCGATTGGGTTTATGTTGCGGCCCAGTTGCTGCCAGAGACAACCCTTCGCAATTCCAGCTGCCAACAGGGTGCACGCCATCCGTTTGAAGTGACATGCGACATATGTCGCACTTCAAACATCCTAATGCATTAGGACAGGTCGAATCTGAAGGCAGTCAAGTGATCATGGGTGCCGTGAAGGGTACAGGGGCAGCAAAAACATTGAACCTAAATGACCTAAGATCCGAAGCGACATCCATGTCCTTTGTGACGTCATGTGCGTCAAAATGAGTGCAACATTCTGCTTCGATGATGAAAAGGATCAGATCTCTTTGAGTGCTACTACCGCGATCGCAATCACATGTTTAGGATTTTACTAGTCCAATGCGGCTGGAAAGGCTGGTTACCCGTCCCTCCCTGGAGATGCCATTGTCGATAGACTCCCCAAGTCCGTCCTCTTGCTCGAAAGGCCGGGATGGGGAAGGGGGGGAGGGGGTAGGAGGGGGGGGGGACTGTTGGCGCTGACGTTAGGTCGATTGCTTTGGCTGGCAATGGAAGTCCCCTGGAGCTGCTCCATATTTTGCTCCAACCATATTTTGGGGGAAAATGATATAAGGTTTAGTACTTTGCAGTACTTGCTTGTACTAACTTATCCTGAAAGCGTGCTAGCAGCGCTAATGAGAATTCAACGGCAACTCAGCCAACGCAGGCACCCAATGCCGCGTGTTGAGCCTGCCAAAACAGACGACACACAGGGCCCTTGCGCCTTGAATGATGTCGAGCGCTGCATTAACACTGGGAGAAAACGGCATGTTGGCGCTGCCAAGTTGGCAGTGCCAACTGCGATGCCATTTTGACACAGAACGATGCCATCACAGTGATTGCAATGGCATAAAAGCGGCTGCGATGGCATCAATTTGTGTCAAATGGCGTCGCAATTGGCATCGCAAACAGGCTGTTTTCTACTGGTGTAAGCAACGACGGCCCCTGACGCCTTGAACAAGACATCATCGAACAACCGGCGACAATTCTTTTTTGCACGCCTTGTTGCTGATCTCCTCACCGCTCTCCTTCATCATCATCATCATCATCATTATCATCATCATGATTTTTTTACAGAACAAGGCTCTCCTTCAACGCCACGTCCCGTCCTTGGGGCCAACTACAAGGTCTGATGTCACATCCGCCAGGTGTGCGGTTATACACCTGGCACATGTCCAATGCACACCTGCATGCCTGCTGCCTGTCGACAACAGCGCTCCGCACCCAACACGCCCAGCCCTGGCCCTCCCAAGGGACAGGAACGCCGCACACAACCAAGCACACCGGTGGCTGCCAGGCCCCCTTGGGACCCTCCAGCATTCGCGGAGCCGCCGGAAGCCGCTGACCTCCTCGCCGATCACAGCAGCTGCGGCCTCGTGGTGACAATCTCGAGCCTCCCGCGCTTGTCGGTGAGTGCCGCGATGCCCGAACTCCTCCGCGCCCTTCCCGACAAAGGAAGGCGGAATCTGCCCCGAGGCGATGGCCTCTCGCGAACAACTCAGGGCGCCAACGGCGGCGCCGCATCCGACCGCGACGATCGAATCAGATCTGGTGGCTGGGTGGACGGTTTTGCACAGCAGCGCGTTCCATCCCGCGCCCTGGCATCCCTCTCTGCCCTCTCCGCGACGCACCCTCCGCCCAGGGCAGCCCCCGCCGCCTCTGAATCTGCGCCATGGGTCCCAGCCAGTAGCAGTGCGCGGTTTGGCACTGTGCAGACACACCCAGGCGACGCTCCTGCTGTCCGATACTCCCCGTCAGGGCGCAAAGCCGTTTGCTTTCGCAGAGGAGATTGAATCCACCCCCCCTGGCTCCCTTGGGCTCCAGCCAGTGACGATCCGTGCCTCAGCGCGGTGCGATCGCGCCCCGGCGACGCACCTGCACTCCGACTTTCACCCTCACTGCGCAAGTCCGCTGTTGTCCCCTGCAGAGGTAGATGGATGCTAACACCCCATGAACACTACCCCCATGGCACTGGCCTTGACCGCATTCCTCTGACCCTATCCCCATCTCCTCGAATCATTCGCAGCAAACAGAACACAACCTTGCAACGCTTTTGAAAATCGCACTCAAAGCCCAGGCCAACGGCCTCGCTCATCCCCGCCTTGGTGCGCGCCACAGGCCTGCGCTCGTTGCGGCATCCCCGATCATCGAGGCCCCCCCTGGATCGGATCTCGACCTTCTTGAGCGCGGGGAGCGTCGGCGCGGGGATGAGTATCAGGGCGTCCGGCGCCCCGAGGGCGGTGAGCTACGCCGGGAGGGCGGGCGGGCGCGAGGGGGCCGTTCGGCGTGAACGATCGGCGCCCAGGCGGGGAGGACGGGGACGGAAGGGCGTCAGCGTCGAGGTGGGTGTTGGAAGGTCGCCCTGGGACGCCACGGTTGAGAATCGACCCATTTTGGGAGGCCTTGGGCCGCATTTGGGCACACCGGATGGGAGGTGGGACTCGCGGGGCTGTTGCGGGTTCTTGGGGCCATGCCTTTAGGCGTGCATGTCTCGTCGGGTGCCCCATTTGAGGAGGCTGTGGACGCGGGAATGCCCGATGCTCCTGCCGGTCGGACAACTATGGCAAAGCATGCCTCAAACATGCCAGTCAAGAATGCCGCCATTTTGGACATGTTGGCATATGTGTCTCTGCACGTCAGCACAGCATGACAGACCTGTTGCTGTTCCTGGCTCCCCAGTCTTCCTCATTAGGGGCATGAGACGCTGTGCACTCAGCGATGGTGCCAACAGTGGCTGTCTTATTGTTTGTGCCATGGATTGCCCCTTGAACAGAATGGATAGCATCATGCAAACACCAACCCACAGCAGAGCTCGAATTTTCGTTGCTCTCTTGCACTCTGTAGATGCACGCTGGAGGCCATGATCATGGGGCTATTGGTTCATTATGCAACACATGTATTTGTTTTCCATCGCCAGACAGCTGCATCCACCTCCTTTGAGTCCTACACTTAATCTATTTCTTCTTTCAGAATATTACCCTCGTTTGAGGGGACGATAGCTGAAAGCTGCATGTCTGTACCAGTGGTAAGACATGCAGTGGTCGCCCCAACCGTCTAGTACTTTGTACTGCAAGCTGGCGAAGGAAAAATGGCACTTTAACAATTCCCTTCAAGCATCAATGAGCAGCGCATCTTTTTAAATTCCATTCAGGCTAATAGACAACCTTTTTTCCTGTTCAGAACAAACTTCTGGCTCATTTCGTAGACCTGATAAGTCCTTCATTGGACATGCCCTCACACAGAAACATGCTCAGGCACCTCACTACAAGGCCCAAGGGAACTCCTTATATTCAAAACACCATGTCAACTTTTAGCAAACTGCTGTTTATTTAGGCAGCATGATACATTCTGCAAGGGGGCACATAACATCAATCCTCCGTCCTACAGTTTTTGACTTGTCAATATATCAAACAGAACTATTTGTGTACTGGCATGTCTGGAGCCTCAGCCTAAATATGGACGATCAAGCATGAGCATTCCAAACAAGCATATTGCCTTGACGGAAACGGGCAGACCATACAAGAAATGTACAATATGGCAGGGCAGGGCTGTACATGTTTGATGGACAGACAGCCTGTCTCCAGGTACAGGAAGATGGCAGATTCCTGTAGAGGGAGAGCCAATTACCGCATCAATATGGAACCCAGCCCCTTTCTGCTGGTTGAGGTAAAAAAGAAGAACATTGTCAGCACATTCGAAACCTTGCTAACGATTTCACTTGAAGCGGCGATGTCCCTGATGGCTTTGGGGGAGATATCCATGGTTCTGGGAATGTTTGTCTATGTTCGGAAACTCTGTATCAAGGAATGGGTTCCTCCGCTTCGGTGAGTGTGCCTCAGTGGACGTGGAACTGTCCTTTGAACAGAAGGAGACATGTCACATCCAGAATACTGCAATCCTGAGAGTAATATTTCGCGGTACAGCAACGATCTCTGCAATGGGTCTCATTTCCAGTGCTGTGACGACTGGAGGCTGACCTGTGCATCGAACTCTCCTGCCCTTGTCTTCATGCTGCGCACATTGCACAGGAACACCCCTCTGGTCACTGCTCACCTCGGGAAGCCCAATCCCCCACCAGATCGCCTTTGCCATCCCATTCTTATCCCTCTTGTCAACATCTTTTCCATCTGCCTATTTCGTCGTCAGATTGCATGCCTCCAAGCGGTGAAAATCACCATTTCGCTTACAAGGAGGTGTCACAGCTCCTCATGCTGCCCAACTGCCCCCCTTTCTTTCCCTCCGTTGGTGCCCTCGTCTTGCACTGGAGAATCCACGTGATCCACTCAAAGTACGGAAAGAGTCTCACGCACGCTTGCTTAGGAGTGGGCGCCCTTTGCATGACGTCTTTGTCTTCCTCGCTTCAACAAATCTCACCCGCCCACCCCCACTCGCTGACCCACCTCACCCGCAGGACATCGCCCGCCTGGCCCCTCTGCCGCAGGGCCAATCGCGCGGCAGCTCCCTGGAGCGCGTCTTCACGACGCCGCTCGATTCATCGCCCTCTGATGCCGGCCAGCTGGATGGCGTCGGCGGCTGCGAGGTTGGGGCCCCGGGCACGATCAACGCCGTCACGGAGGCCGACGCGTTCATCGTGGCGGCGGCGCTGGTGGCCTGCGGCGCCGAGGTGACGTGCGCCGGCGTCGCGGGCTGGACGGCGCTGCACTGGGCGGCCCACGACGACGCGCCGAGGGTGGCAAAGGTGATTGGCAGGTGCTGGCGTACTCGAGTACGCATGATAAAATAGTAAGCGTGAGTTCTGGAGACTCGGACTTATGTACAGATACTTTAACTTTGAAGCTCAAGCATAGAGCCAGAGCATAACCATAGCTTCAGCAGAGCTTGGAGTATTGCGCTCTGCTACGACCGTATTCCGTAGGTAAATTTTACTCAATGTACTGTGCAGTGAATGGTTGGCAAGAACGGGATGGCATCCAGTCAGTGCTGCGGTCGTTTTGCTGGAAGCGATTCGATAGTATCTTCTATAGGCTTGTATATCCCCTGAACAAAGTTCTGGAAATGGCTACAGTCTCAGCAAATGAGTGCAGTAATGTATTGCTTGTCTAGAAGGAACCTCTGCATTGCTTTTCCCAGTACTGTTAGTGTTTATGACTAATCGATTATTCAACTACTCTGGATGCTGTTTGTGCAATGACTTGGTTTTCATAGAACAGATAATTGGCGCTGGCTTTCCCAAGCGAAATTGGGGACGGTGGGCTACCTCCTGCCCTTGACATGTGATGGGGTGCGTTGACTGATTATGGATTTGCGAGGCAGGCTTTCCAGCCCACGTGCAATCTAGAACGTTGAGGTAGGATGCCGGAAAGCATGCACTCTGAAGTTGCCCTAACCTAATACTGTTCTGACGTTGAGGTTGCCATTTTTCTGCGGTCAACGCTAAGGCGAATCATAATGCTAAAAAACCCATTGGCGCTTGGTGTATTTGACCTGTGTGGCCAAAGAACTACGTAATTGTTGCTAAATCAGCAGGAGCCAAGAAGATGTCCGCACCCCTCCCCTCTTTCCGACTTGATCGAAACCTCGCTCGTGTGCGCTACCTTCCAAAGGCGCCGCCCAAACGTCTCAATAGACAGCGTCCATGGCTGTCACCATTGCCTGCCGTCGCTTCGAGCATCACATTTTCTATAGTGCCCTGATCGCTGCAGCACTGACCTTTCACCTTAAGGCAATTCGTGAAAGAATTTCGAATCAGCACTTGTGAAAGAAGCTTCTTTCGCGAATACTTCACCTCCCTAGTAATGTTACACAATAGGACTTATATTATCCACTAGAAGCAACAGACAGTATTTCTCTAGGAATATCTACAAACTCGAAGGCTATCGCCTTCAATTGTTTCAACAAAACATAATAACCTGGAGGCGTTGCTGCCTGAAGGTGTTCCTGGACGCTGGGGCAGACCCCGGGGCTGCTGACGACAGAGGCGACACACCACTGCACAAGGCGGCGGCCTGCAACGCGTCGGCGGCGGCCGCCATGCTCATCGACAGAGGGGCGGTCCCCGATGCTAAGAACCATGACGGGAGGGCGCCGCTGCATTGTGCAGCGGTGAAGGGCCACCTGGAGGTACTGTATAAGTAAAAAAGTTCGCGTGGGATAAAAGTTCGCGCATTTCGCGCTCGAGCAACTGCGCGAACTTTTTTCCCCGCGAACTTTTTTCGCCCGCGAACTTTTCGGCCTCCTCCCAAATGGGTCGGGCGCTTCCCGCGCTTTGGCCCGTTGGCCTTGCACGACGGCTGCCCTGTGCGGCGGCCTTTTAACGAGCAGCGACTGCCCCGAAGGAGTCGTGAGCTGGCCAGCAGATCGCTCGCGCCGGTGGCCATCGGCCAGCCGAATGTTGGCGGCGAGGATGTGCCATCTCCCTGACCAGGCGGCTCTATTCTTCTTCCAGTTTCTAGTCCTGCAAAAGCCTAGATCGAGCCCCCTCCAGCGACTGCCCCGATGGAGCCCTGAGTTGGCCGGCAGATCGCTCGCGCTAGATCGATCGCACCGACGAGTGCGCGAACTTTTTTCCGCGCCAACTTTTTTCCGCGCGAAATGCGCGAAATTTTTTTCGCGTGAACTTTTCTACTTGTACAGTACCCTGCCTTTGATCAAAGGCAGTGCTCATGAGCACTGCTGTCATCTACTGACAAACCTTTTGTCATCTGCCTCGTGTACTTTCGTTGTGTGTTGATCACATACAGACTAAAAAGCACTGAAAGGGGCAATTCAATGCACTGCTTCGCTTCGTTTATCGAGTGGGTTGCTCTGTGAACAACGGCGAAACGGCTCACATAATGCGCTGTCTATTCATTAGTACATCTCAATCTCCCTCTTGTTATCAATCCTTTGCAATTTGGTGACCGGATGATGCGCATCATTCTGTATCAGGTGGCCCGGCTGCTTGTGGCGAGGGGTGCAGACGTGGGCGCGACGGACAGCAGCGGGGAGACTCCTCGGCAGCTGCTGTTTGGCCCTGGCAGTAGAATGCGGGAGCTCAGGGCTCTGCTTGGCAGCGGCGGCGGCTCCAGCTACGAATGGCACGGGGCCTGTGGCATGACCGTGGGTGACCGCGCGAACGGATTTTGATTGTGTGGATGCATTGCGGACCACCAAGGGGCGGCCAGACAAGTTTTGGACACAAGAGGTGTTCCGCGGCAGAGGGCGTCGTGCTGGGCAATTAATGAAGTTCGTCGATTGCATTGTTCGCGTTGAATGGTCGTGGTTGGAGGCTGTGACGAGTGGCGACGAATTGTGGGTTGATACTTGGTGCGTGAGTGGCGGCGCGGCCGTGCCGCGATCGTGTAGTCACCCGTTGGGTGGCTGCTCGGATGAATTTTGACTTGGCGGCCATGTCGTTGATTCACAATATTGAATTTGAACATGCGGGGCTCGAGGGGACGCTTATGGCGGTTTGTGTCGGACTGCCAGTGCGCAAAAGCTGGTGGTCGGGGCTGTGGTAGACAGCGGCGGGGCGGCCATCTGCGAGTGCGAATTAGCTCGCGTTGATTGCATTTTTTGGAAATTGGAAAATCCAGTTCCAGTGGAGAGTGTTTTCGGATGCCTGAAAGAAAGGAACAGGTTGTGAGCTAAAAGGACGAGGGTGGGGGTGGGGGGGGACTCCTAATTAGGAATTAGGAATAATCAGGACAGTGTTGGCCTGCGGACTTGGCCACGCTCGCTGTTTTAGTCAACCGTTCCTGGGGGGTTGCTGTCATTGAGGGTAGAACTTCAAGTGCGGAACGATGGAAGGTGTCAAGTCCCAGTGCGAAGCTTCAATCTCCCTGGAGGGTGGGTGACTCAGAGCAGAATAAAAATGCGTTAAGGGAGCGAAATACAGAGCAATTGGTGAAATAAATGCATTCAATGAGGGTTCATTTGTTTTGGATGGCATTTTGAGGGGATTTGATGATTTTCTGGACCCATTTTACGCTACACACTCGGATTTAATTCTTACCCATGGTCGCCAAGCTGGGTTCACGCCTATGGGAAATGGGAACTCTCTCATATAGAGATTGTGGTGGGTTTGCAAACTGATAGAACATGTTGGGGTCTTCTATTCAGAGGGGGGGGCGGGGGATTATTCGTGCCACCGGATTCTGATGTTACAGAGCGATCGTACATCGTATCTTTACCATCATGGGTGCGGAGATGCAGCGCTGTTTGGTGTCAACCTCCATGTAATCTGCGGAACGATATCAGCATCATCTTTGGAATGAAACACTAGAAGCAAAGTCAAATTAAAGGAAACAAAGAGACAACCACAACAACTAACAATTGGTGATGCCTATCTTCAGACAATGGCAATGCTGAATCTCCGACTAGCAGCACCCGGGCGGAGTTCTTGCTGTAATATACTGTTTTCAAATGGAATGCAATTTTATTATTGCAGTCGCCTTGGCATGCCCAATTCACAAACGCCCAAGGACAGCGTGAATTGATGGAGGCCTGATCCCGTTGTATCACCTGCAGGGTAGAAAACGGGATCAGGCCTTGAACTTTATTTCAAACACATTCAAGCCATCAATTCAATCTCAAATTTGAGGTTGAGCAATCATTTAGATGCGAACACCTTTGGGGCTTTACATCGCCCTGCACTCTCTTGCTAGGTGGCACAAGATTTGTGTATGTTGTTTTAGGCGGGTGTGGCACCTAGACATTGAAATATGATGTCATATTCTGGAACAAAAGAAAGAAGAAGACAACAGCTACGCCCGCCGCACATCGCAAGCACCAGCGCATCCCCTGATGAGCGCATCCTCCATGCCCATGCGTGCCTGTCACACCGCACTGTGAAGCACGCAATGAAGACACTGCCCCTTGGCGCTGCGGGAAGCACAAGACCTAGCCTACAACGTGGTACTGCGCTATCATCATCTGCTTCGCGAGCAAATAACGCAGGGTCAATCAGAGGACCGCACGTGTGTGGTGTGCACTTACGTCTGGCCTTGTAAGCATATAAAATTCACAGGCCATCTGCCGCTACGGCATATCGGCAACGGTTTCCGATACGGACCACGCCCTCGAAGACGGTGTCGTCTCCTACCCTGAACCATGACCCCAAGCGCCCAATCCTAAACCGTCTTCGTCCCCGTCACCGCCTCAGTACTGTGCGTCAATGTAATGTTGTCCGTAAGCCCACAGTACGCGGCGGTGGCCCCACGGGCACCAGTGTGACGAAGCAGTACGGGGAGGTGGCCGTCAGCTTCCCAAATTTCCCGTTCCCTTCTCGTCACCGCGCGACGCAAACTGACTGGATCGTGGCGCGAGCAATCAACTGGTGACGAAATGCCAACAACGCGCGGAGCGACCCTCGACCCCGCCGCACTGCGCAGCCCGTTGCCCAGAAGTTCTGCCGCACCCAACCCCGGTTTTCACCCAAGTTTTCACCTTCCTCCCCGGACGCGCCCACTCCGGCACAGGCCCCCCCTTCCCCACTCGCGCCCCCGCAGTCCGTCGCCAATCGCCAGGCCGGGCATCGATCGGCGCCCTCTGCCGATCGTCGCAGAGGGGCGGCCGCGAGCAAATCGCTGGTCGGCCCTCGCGGGGCCGGGCGGCGGGTCGTCTGCGACGCAGCCGTCCCTCGCGCGGTGGATGGGCGCGGGGGGCGGTGCGCCGCGGGCGGTGCTGCTGGTCGGTGTCGCGATCGTCTTGGCGGGCTGCGTCGCGGGCAGGCTTGACCCCGCAGGTGTGTGAAGAGAGGGAGGGAGGGAAGGGGGGGTTGGGGGATGGGGGTGGGGGTAAGATTTGCCACAAGGAGAGAAAGAAACGGAGCATGCAAATGGCGCCCCTCCAAAGCAAATGTATGCGAGGCTCATTTCCATGCTGTCAAAAGATGACATCGAGCCGAGGGAAAAGGGGGGGAGGGGGGGTTGGAAAGGGGAAGAGAGACAGGTAGTGCAAAGGGCACCCCCTCCTATGCAGGTGCCTGCGAGACTCTTTTCCATGCTCTGAAAAGGTGATGCAGGGCCTGCGGCGCGAAGGGGGAGGGGCTTTGGTCAGGGCGAGGCACGTCGCAGAATGGGAGCGGCCGTTCAGGGCCGAGAATGTGTGAGAAACCTTCCTTCTTTTCCTTCTTTGTGCAATCTGGGGCTGGATTCTGCTAGGGAGATGGGAGGGAGTGGCGCTGCGGCGACGCAGTGGACTGGTTGGGCGTGACACCTGCCCCCTCCCGGAGTAACCCTGCGCGGGCCCGGCGCTTTGGCGCCTGCGGAACCGTGCGGACACGCGCCGCACGTTCCCCTGCGTTCCCAAAATGGCGAGCCGCGCCGCGACGGAAGCTGCGCCTGCCCCCGGCAAAGTGTGACGGGCGAACCATCGCGGTGCTCCACGCTTTCGGCGGATGCTAGGTTGGCCGCGGTTGTCCCAATGGCGGGAGGCGGGGCTGGGGTAAGCGGCTTGCAGCGCAGATCGGAGCAGAAGGCCACCCCTAAAAGGTCTTCTCCGTTCACGGTCTCGCCATCGCATCGCTCGCTCCGGCGAATCCGATTTTCCCCTTTCTCGCTTGCGCTGCCCATTGTTGGCAACCCTCGCAGGCGTGCTATCATGCCTTCGTCCTGATTTGACGATGCTTTGGGTCACAACGCCTTCGCGCTTGCTGAGTTCTTCGCCTCTGCTCATTGGAGCCCACCTGAGTGGGTGCTTTCCGCATTCTGATTCTGTGTTGCAACTTGTGGCCGTCGAGCATTTCAGCATCATCTTTTGCAGTGTGGGTAGCCGTTTCGGAAGGGTGGGCACAGCGTTCAGCGTTCAGTACTTTGGCTTTGTGCTGTCCTGGCCCTATTACACCAGGACTAGGACTGGGGCCGGGGCTGGGAGAGTATCCGCGTGGGCAAGGAAAGGCATTCGAGTTCCGCGTTTCGATTGTTGCTCAGGATGTGGGTAGCCACTGTGTGACAGCTTCGGTTGGACACTGATGTCTTAGGCCCATTCTTTCAGAGGGAGTTCTGCCATAACTCCTTTGTGGGGCAAGGTATTGGGGCGCACGCTCTTTCATAGCACCAAAATGTCAGAGCCTGCAACTCAACTCGCTGCCCCTCAGCCAGGGCATTGATGGGTATGCTGCGAGTGTTTGGCAAGTTGATTAAGAAATTTAGTGACTTGATCGATTTGTTGACATGTTGTGCTCCTGATTCCTGCAGGAGCAATTTCTTTTGAAGGACTGGGGCAACATAGGCAGCTGCAACAAGATGGGCTCATCGCGGTGAGTGGTGCAAATCCTGTCACTTGCATTGGCACAGTGCTAGTGACACAATCCCAAACGACAGTGAGGGGTAGACGTTGCATTCTGGTGCTTGTCGTCTAAGTGCTCATTTCACACTCATACAGCCCAATCAGTTAACATGCTTGGGGAATGACGATGCTGGGATATTGAACAAACAATGATTGGATCTTTCATGATGTTGAGGTGGATAGGTCAGATGAATTCATCTGCATATCTTGGTGAGTGCACTGATGGTTAGACAGTATAGCGCTGCTCTTCCCTCTACAAGTCAAATACGGGCATAAATCCATCTGCACGTGGACTAACTCAGCCAGCACCCCTGGTGCCCTGTTCTGTTGTACTGCAAAGGGCTGCAACCAAACAACGTGAAATGTTGAATTTGGGGAGAGATCGGGTGGTAACTGTACACTTGCCATTTCCTTCCATGAACAACCCCTTTCTGACCCCAAACTGCGATATTCTTGTCCACACTTGTGGAAGCGTCTGACAAAGGTGCTTTGTAATTGGATGAACGTAAGACATTGACTGCTCTTGACAGAACGGTTCTGAGGATCGTGTTGGTGGTTGTTGGAGGGTGGCGTGCAGCAGTGAACTCTTACACAGACTTGAACCCTGGGTGTTTATGTTATATGCGCTGCATGCCAATGTCAGCAAGGAAAATGGGGTAGATAAGGCAGCGAAAATGTCTGTAACGTTCAAGATAGCATGGGGTGCATATGGAAATCATGAATTTCCAGAACATAGGTTGCCAATGTGTTTTTTACCAGCCACACTGGTGCTGAAAAGTGCCATTGGGTTTACTTTTCAAGAATGTTTTGAAACTGTTCTTCGAACGTTCAGCAGCTTTGAGGCATACTATGGGCCCCTGTTGACATTGTTCTGGGAAGCACGTAAAGTGTGCATAGGGCGCCTGGCGATCTGTTGATGGCATTAGCTTGACCAAGACATGTGCCCAAGCACAGTAGACAAGGGTCTCAGGGAACAAGACCATCTACCAAGCTAGATTCCTTGTGGGTTGCACTTCAAACTCAAGCCACAGCATGTGCAACATGGCAAACAGCAAAGGACTTCACCTAGCTACAGTGTTTGCTTCTGTAGCCGGGTTTCACAACTGTGTCATGCTCACATCACACAACCAGCAAAGGCAACGTCAACATGCAAGCCAACTCTATTCCACCAGGCAAGGGTGATGTACACACTAAACAGCTGAATGTAGTCAGAGCATCAAGGTTGTGTGTGTGTGCAGTAAGCAGCCAGTGCGTTTCTCAGGCTGGGTTCCCAAGTCGTTCCTGGTTCACCAACGCACAGCACCCTGTGCCCTCTTGAACAATATGGCCAAACATCAGCACTCCGGCCGCCCCCCCCCTCAACAGCATCACCAAACATCAGTCAAGACTCCGTTCAAGCAGCACTTCAGCCCGGCAAAGTTGGCGATTCCCACAGGGCCTGTGGCTGCTAAGCATTCAATGTTTTCCTCAGGGTGGAGAGCCTGCCCCCTGTGGCCGCTACCCATATATGGTGTCGCTGCGCGACTCCGCTGACGTCCACAGGTGCGGCGGCATCCTGATAGATCGGCGCTGGGTACTGACTGCTGCACACTGCATCGACCCCAGAGACAAGGACTCACTGGGACTAAATCCAGTGACTGTCATCGGTGACTGCAACCTTCGAGACACAAAAACCAAGAACGAGAATGGAGTGATCAAGGTGAGGGGTGAGTGCTGTTGTTCTCTATGCCGGAATATTGCATCGCATTTGAGAGATCAAGTAACAGCCCTAACCTTAGCGAGGTATGGGCCTGTTCAGCTTGGGAGAATGCACAAGACAGAGCATGACTCTGAAAGATGGGCTGCAAGATGACACGTACTGGAGTTCCAGAATCAGGGAAGCTCAGGAGCCCTGCTAAATCCCCCATCAAAGCAATCGTAGTGTTCTGTGTTTTGTTTTACCAGGGGTGCTGCCATCAGTTGTGGTTGATCAGCAACTTTAGCCGGTATTGGCTGTGGACACAGGAATCTGTGGTATCGGTTTCCTGTGCAACCAGAGCTCCATTTTAAGCCCACCACTAGAAAAACCCTCAGAGGGGCCAGTTGTCGTCCACTCTAGGCACACAGAAGGAGATCTAAATAGAATGTTTGTATTGTTGGAATGCCACAGGTGGGGTGGCGCTGCCAGTTTCGTGCACCTATGGACTTCCATGAAATATAGAACGCGAGAACTTGCTGCTAAATTCGACTGAACTGCAGTGCAAACAGCACACAGACCTGAAAAATTGTAGAGTGCTGGTCCCAGTGCTTGGAAGCAGCAGAGGAGGAACATGTCGAATGTGAATTCAGTCGATTGACACTTATCCGGTTTTGGCAAGAATACATGTTGTGCAAAGTGCTGTGCAGCATGGTCAGGGAAGCATTGCCACCCTATTCTGTTTGCCGTCTTGTCTTCTCATACTTCTCTGGGTTCTTGGTGCAAAGAGTGTCCTCTCTTCCCCAATTCCCCAAGTATGTGCTTTGTTGCAAACTGTGCTACTCCATGTTTGTGTGTTTCATGTTACGCATGTGGGCTTCTGAAACTTTTGCTGTATGGAAAAAGCCACAACGCATTTGTTTGTTTTGGCTATGTTTTGACTTTGGTTGCTTACCTGCAGACCGTCCGTCCTGAGAGGGCATTCATCCATGAGGGTTACACTGGCAGTCTGGATGATGGGAATGACATCGCCCTGCTAAGATTAAGAAAAGTCGACAGACCCAAGCAGACACCAGTTGCCATGCCCTCTCGAGACTGGAAGCTGGAAGGCGGTGTAAACCTTGTGGCCCTTGGCTGGGGGGATGGGAAAATAGCGGAACTGCAACAAGCCCCCAACCTTCGTTTCATTGAGAACAAATTCTGCAATGACCCTGATTTGTGGGATGGCATCGTCAGCGCTTCGATGATGTGCGCATTTTCTTCTGGGCAAGATGTCTGCAAAGGTGATGCGTGAGCAACCCCATGGGAGCAGCTTTGCACTCGTTGCTGAAATGCTGCTGCTGCTGAGTACTCTCAAGACCCCCCTGCCCGTCTGTCAAAGGAAGGCTGCGAGTGCATTGCTTTTGGAGATTTCAACATCATCTGTTACAGTATGGAAGAGAACCTCGCCCATTTTGCTCAGGAGGGGGATGCCCATTGTGTGGCATGTTCCCTTCATTCAGTTTTTCACTAACAAAAGTATGTGGCACAATGCCCATGTAAGTCCCTGCCTGTGCCTTGTGCGGTCGCCTGATGCTGCAGCTGGTCCCCACAGGTGACAGTGGCGGCCCCCTGCTGGAGGGACACTCCCCTAGCGGCAACGTCTCAGCGGGCTCCGCCTCAGCGGACATCCTAGTGGGCATCACTTCCTTTGGCGAGCTCACAGATGAGATGGGCCAGCCCGTGGAGTGTGGCAGCTCTGCAAAGCCCAGCGTGTTCGCCAAAGTGAGCAGCTTCCTGGATTGGATCGATGCCAAGATGAAGATCAAGGTGTGTGGGGGGCCTGGGGTGGGGTGGGGTGGGGTGGGGTGGGGTGGGACTGTCGCTTGCGGCCCTGTTGCTGGTGATAGATCTGAATGGAGAAGAAGGCGAAACTGTGGTTGTTTCAGTGGAGGGTCTAGCAAAAGGGTCGAGGTTCTGGTTGTGGGGGTGGGCGCAAGGGTGGGCCGCACTTGCTGCTGGCGAGGCGAAGGAATCAGCAGAGAGCCTGGATGAGCAATTGGATGCAGGCTGAGGCCAGCTCTTTGCTGAGAACTGTTCACAGGGCTTTTTCAAAACTAATATCCTCTGGGAACTGAGTAATGTATGCCTGTTCTTGTATATTTGTTCTCTACATTTAGCAATATAATGGATTGTATTTTGCTAGAATACTGATGTTGTTCCAAGCTGCTGCTCAGAGCTTCTCCTTTGCTAGATGTTGATGGACGGCTGTGAAAGACTGACTGTTGGGCGCAACTCAGTCGATGCCCAGAGCTTCATGTGGTGGCCTCTGGAATCCCTTCTTTTGTCTTTTGGTTTCTCGTTTCTTGTGGCTCGGCTGCTTGAACCCTGCAGAGGCCCTGTCATGTCAATGCCCTACTAGTGCATCTGAACACTCCAGCGATCGTCATACTACAGTAAAATATTCAACCCTTCCGCATCAATAAATTTACTGCCATGCTTTTTTGCCCTGCAAATTTTTTCAGAGCGTTATTTTTTGGAGGTTACTCAGCAAAACATTCATTGAAACTTTATTTGTTTTGTTGTTTTCTCCACAAAAATGGCCAAGCGTTACGTTACTATTTGGAAGGGTTCAATATGCTAGGGTATGCCGGTGGATGTCCTGTGTTCTAATTCATCCTTGGCTATGTGATGCTCCGTTGCATTTGCTGTTTACCCTTTACATGCTTATATTTACTTGCTTTATTTGCTTGCATTCCAGAAGTTCTTTTGTCGCATCTAGCAAGACCTCATGCAGATGTTCCATTGAGAATGCTTTCTTGCTGGGAAGGCTGTCTGAACACTGAATATTCGTTTGAGTTGAAGTTATATTGAACGCCATAAGTCAATTTTGACGCCATCTGGTTTGAACGCCATTTGAACGTTGATGGAATGTTAAGTGTTGTCATAGTGTGGACTGGAGGAATGGACTATTGAACTTTAAATTGCCACCAATTCTTGAATAGAACTGTTACAGCGATATCAGAGCCTAAAAGAAAGAGGCCTGAATAGCAACCGACCTCTGAATACTATTCAAAATGTCAAAATATAAAGCTGAATAGCATTTGTGGCTGCTCAGGACCCAGATCCCATGGCAGAGCCATCACCCACAGAAGAGCCGTCAGAGCCTTCGGAGCCGGTGAGTGGGAATGTTACTTGTAGGAAGAAGTGGTGCAACAGAATGCTATGAAGCCCTAAACCTTGCACCACTGCTGTACCAACATTGTGTCAGATCTCCTCCCATACTTTGCGGAAGTGCTCATAGACCACTGAGCTATTACACCAGCAGAAGACATCGTTTTTGCTGTACCAAGCGCGATGCTATTCCAACAGAACTGTTGGCATCCCCAAATGTTGTTGTTTGCTGGTGGTAGTAGTCGCACCATGCTACAAGTAGTAGGCTGCTGTCCCAGCATTCTAGAGCGACAAGCAGTCACATTTGTCCTTTTGGTTGTTGCCCTGGGATCCCCAGGCTCCAAATACCCTAATTGTTAGGATGTTATGATGATCGACCAAATGTAATGGAATGAGATAGCCAATGTGAAAATGGCACCATGGGCGCTGTTAAGATCACCTGTTCTGGTCCACCTTAAACATGGTTCACAGCACTAACAGTTTTGGTGATGGCATCAAGGAATACTATGGAGGGGTGGTATGGGCTGGATGGTACTAGGAGATGGGCTTGGTTTTGTTTTTGTAGTCAATTTATCTTTAAAGTAAAGGACCTTTGAGTTGGGAAGGAGGAAGCATGTATTATCGCTATATATTTGTTTGACGATGCAGGCGTGGGGCATACATGCTGTTGGTACAATGAACACACGGAAGTGCAACTTCATAACAAATGACGACAAGCAAACTACTGGGAGCTGATCTCTTTTCTGTTGCACAGGCCCTGCCCCCCGTCAAAGTGCCGCAGCCTCCACCGCCCGAGCCGGTGCCAGAACCAGTGCCTCCATCGCCTGAGCCAGCACCACCATCACCTGCACCTGTGCCTTCATCGCCTGCACCAGTCGCTCCTTCACCTGAACCGGTGCCTCGATCTCCGGAACTCATGCCCCCATCACCCCAACCAGTGCCTCCCTCACCTGAACCGGTGCCACCATCACCCACACTGGCGGTTCCGTCGCCCGCACCCATGCCTCCATCGCCTGCCCCGGAGCCTGCATCGCCTCCAGAGCTCAGCCAGGAGGAGCTTGACGTGGTGGGTTTGAGCAGAAGTCCTTGCCAGTGATGTGGAGATGCCCATTGATTGGTATACCGAAGTGTGACAAGCCACTACCCCATTGTGTGATAAGCGATGGCGGGCGCCTGCAGAAAGCTGCCCGTTTTCGACAGTTATGGCCACATATGAATCGTGAAGGATTTGCCAAAACTCGTGTGCTGAATTCTTGCAGGCATGTATCTAAAATATATTTGATTCAACTGAATACCACTACACACACATCAACAAGTGTGTGCGAAAAGTGGTGCGCCTTCAGCGCATGGCTGCAGTAACAAGCAAAGCATGCAGCACTTCAATATTGATGTTCTAGGTAGCACTGAGAGACTGTGGAAGTTTCCCTGAAGTTGGACTTCAGATGAGACTCCCCATCTTCTCTTTGTCTGTGTGCTGGAGTGCAGCAGATTCTGTGCCACAGCCACAGGTGAATTTTACTACATGTTTGGGTAGCCGCGATGAAATGTCAACCAGCGCAGCAGACTTGGGCAGGTTTTGGGGCGCCATCATTCGGGGGTTGCTCCCATTCAAGGGCCGACGAGCTGTGGGCACGAGCCGAAGAGCCAAAGAGCTGTGTGTCATTCTGCTTTCGTCATGTTTGTCGTAATCGGTGGGATGTGGACAGTATCAACATCAGTTAGGACGACTTTAACAGATTCGACATAATTCTTGCAATTCTGGCCCTCCTGGCACCATGGCGTTTATACGCTGTTCATCATCAGGTAATCCCACGGCTCGATTAATGCAGTCCATTAGCACCGCTGCTATCATGAAATTTTGCCTAAGGCCAAGAGGTAGCCGTCAGCTCCTATTGTGACTGAGGAAAGTGGTGTCCAAGGCTTGTTCACTGAAGTCTAATATGTAACACAAACAAAGTCCAGAATCCATCAATTGCCAAGTTTTGACAAATCTTTGTCAACAACCAGAAAAATTGTGGAAAGAAATGCTCTCGCCAGTTGGCGAGCGTGGACAGAAGCAAGAAGTGTTCTTGCACTGCTGTGGCGAAATAAACTCGATTGGCTTGAAACTCGATCAGCACCACTACCACTGGTCCATCGATCCATGGCAAGTTGCACCCACAGCCCTTTCCTGTCGATAACATACCGACGCTCGTTCCTTGGTGCCCCTCCCTGCAGGCCCTCATTCTCCTGGCGGGCAGCCGCGAGCGCGCGGACACCCAGGCCTTTGTTTCCGACTACTTGTCCCGCGGCGCCAGCCCGGACGCCTGCTGCATCAACGACCTGGTCACCTCCCCCAAGACCCTGTCCTACGTGGGCCAGTGCACGGCCATCCACGCCACTTCCGCATTCGACAACGCCGTCGTGGCATCCGCCCTGGCGGCCGCCGGCGCCGATCTCACGCGACGCTGCCAGGGTGATTGGACCCCGCTGCATCGAGCGGCCGTTGATGATGCCGACGCCGTCGTTGAAGCGTTGATCGCGGCCGGGGCGGACATCGAGGCCAGGGCGAAGGGCAACACGCCGCTGCACGAGGCGGCCAAGTTCGGTAGCCCGGGCGCGGCGAGCGCGCTGGTGGAGGGCGGCGCGGACAAGGGGGCGATCAATGACGACGGCCAGACGCCGGCGCAGGTGATCTGCTCCTTCGCGGTGTTCTCCAGCTGCAGCGCCAGCGACTTTGCGCGGCTGGAAGCACTGCTGGCGTGACTTGGGGTTTTGTGTTTCTGTTTGGCGGTGGTTCTTTTGGGCGGGGGGAGGAGGGGCTATGGGGTGGTTGGGATGTCGTGGTGCGGACTCGGCGATTTTGGCCGGCCTCGGCAGCGGCTGGGATACGCGCTTGAATGTGATGGAATGTGGTGAAATGTGGACGGGCGTGCTGAATGTGATGGAATGTGGTGAAATGTGGTCGGGCGTTGTGGCGACCTATCTGATCACATTTGCAAACACATCTGCAAACAGACGCTGCCCTTGCGGGTGTGCGGCGATGGTGGGGGGTGGAGGGGGGGCGCAGTGCCATGTTGGGGAGGGCGGTGGAGATTCCAGCATTGTATTTAATGTACTAACCTGCACGTTACAAACGTGGCGGAAATGACGTGGACAAGTAGAGTTTTGGTTGAAGTGTATGTTTTGAGTCTGCAGTTAATGCTTTAGACACGATGTAGAATGGGGAAATGAAACAGCAGTTGGTGCATTGCGTAGTGTGGTGCCAGATGCTGTCGTGGTCCACTGGGTGTAGAATTCATTAACAGTTGTGTTGAACACACTGGAACAATGTATGGCCCGGATCCAGACGGGGAGGTACTGACGAGCTGGGGCCACTGTATTGTTGTGGCGTTTTTGAAGTCCACTGTGAGGGCTTTTGTCTCAAGTGCAGGTTCGACTGGAGAATTTATCGGAACGAATGTGAGCTGTTGGTGACATGGGTTGGGCCGAGGTGTGGGCTGGTGACGTGATCAACTCCATTTAGATGCAGGTGCAGCTTCGCCCCACTGTGGGAGTTGATTTGTGAATTGGATTTGTGCCGAGCAGAGGCAGTCTTGCGGACGCTGGCTGCCACGATTTAAGACAAACGATGTGATGTAATCTGCTACAATTAGTATTAATGTGTATGCTGGTTTATGTTTTTCAACGTTGATTGCTGATCGTTGTACTTTGGCACAACGGTTGGTCTGTAGATATTGTCATGCAGGTTCTATAAATTATCATCTTAGCTGAATCGAGGGAAATGAAAACAATATTGACACTGCTCTGAGACGTGCACGACTGGCGCATGATCCTAAAAGAGCGTTCAAAAGACAATTATCCTCTGCTGTTGCTTTGGTCCGAGTTGGTAGACTCCTTGCTTCACCGTGTTGCGGTAGAATTATGTAAATACGCGAGAATTAATCAAGTAACTATCAGTAAACAGGTATGAATAAGCCGATTGAAATGGCATGTAGGCCACGAATATATTCATGAAATCCATCATGATCCCACGGATCGCCCTTTTTCCTGGTGGTGCAACACGGAGGGGTGTACCTAAGATGCAGGGGCGGTATTCCTGAGATGCTTACGTTGTAGGAGGTGATGTCGTTTGGGGCTCAAAGTCCGTCGGAAACAACTCCGGAGTGTACCATTCATTGCATGTCGGTGCGCACCCAGACAGAAACCTCTCGGCGGCTCTCGCCCTCCACTACTGCACACGAACCGCCGCAGTGCCCCCGAACGCGGCCCTGCGTCGCGCAACCACAACGTTCCGGGGCGCTCGACACATTCTTTCACCCCGGCCGCCGAAAAAAACCGGAACAAAGCAGGAAAAAGCAGGAAAAAACGAAAAGAAAAAAAGTGGTCTCTGGCGCCCCTGGTACAGAGCGCACCCGCCGAGCGGGCGGCATCCATTTTGGCGCCAAAACCCGTGCTGTGGGCCACGCCCTTTTGCCTCAGGGGGGCTGCAGCGCAGCCCCTCACCCCCGCACCCCAACCCTCCGTCCTGCGGCCTCCCAGCCACCCCCCTTCGCCACTCGCTCGCCGCCCGCCCGCCGATTCCGCCCCGATCCCCTCCGATCCCGATCGACAGCGGACATCGCCATCCACGACTCCGCGCGCGGGCGTCGGCCACGTCGATCCCCCGCCGACCGAAGCATCCCCGCCGTCCTCGAGGGGCGCCACTGATCGCATGGCGACGCGAGACCGGGGGCTTCCAACCGTGGTTGCCGCGGCCGTGGCGGTGATGCTGCTCGGCTGCTCGGCGAAGCTTGCCAAAGGTGGGTGGCGGGGGGCGAGGGATCACGGACGCGCCGGAGAGCGACTGCGGCCCACGAGCCAAGATGCGCCGGGGATGGGTTTCAGTGCTGCCGAGGCCGCAGCCGGGAGTGGATACAAAGAGGAGACGAGGGACCGAAAAAACATTCTTGGATTTTTGGACGTGAGTCTCGGCGTATGTTTGGACGCTCTTTGATGTTCGTGCGCAATCGGGAGGGGAAAAATGAACCGACGAGGGACAGGAATGCGTTCTTGGGTGCGCGCACGTCCGCCGTCGCCTGCAAGGCGCGAGGGCAGCGCTGTGCCTTTCGAAGGCAAATTCAAACCATGGATCTTTGCGTTTGGCAAATTTGGATTCTAGCGATCGGGAGGTTGGCTGGCGGCAAAAGCCGGGCGGGCGCGCACAGATCGCCGGAGCATGCCGCTGGGCGCTTCGACGCGCCGGCACGGCGAACGGAGGCGGGTGTCGCGCTTCCGATTGACAGGGCTGGCCGTGCAGTTTGTGAACTAAAACATCTCGCCGCCGCGTTTGCTCATGAAAAAGCTGATGCGCAGGAGCTCGCGGAGCGCTTGGGAACGGACACCCGAGGGGGCTGCGACGGAACGCCAGTCGCGCGGCGCCGAAAATCGCGGTGAGTGAGTTTGGGGGTGCCCTGGGGCATCAGCACGGGGCGTCAGGGGCATCAGAGCATGTCTTGTTGCTATGCGCGCTGCATGTTCTCATACCGCAGGTTTAGGAACACGTCCGCATCGGAAAATTTTACCACTGTGCTTTTTGCTCCGCATTTTGCTTTTCAGAGCGTTATTTTCATTATATTTACGTTGCTCCGCAGAAGTTTTAATAAAAGAGCGTTATCTTTTGGTTGTTTTCTTTGCAAGAAAAGGCCAAGCGTTACGTTACTATGTGTAAGGGCTTAAGAACCTACGGTATCTGCCTTTCGTGATTCGACATCGTCTGTCGCAATGTGGAAAAGAACGTCGGCGCTGTTGAAAGTGCCGACATTCTTTTTGCGAATTGTGAGCCGGCCCGAGCAAATTTGTTCGTGAGGGAGGGGTTACAATTGCATGGCATACCTTTTCTATTTCCATTTGACAGAAAATCTCTGGAGTTGTACCACAGTTCTGCCCTGTGCTCATTGCTGTACCGTCACCTTTCCCAACCGCACCCGACTTGATGGCGTGGCCCGATTATTTGAATGGGAGTTGCGCCTGAGAGCATGGCAAGCACAACAGGCAGGGGTGGCATAGGGGTGGGTTGGGTCCAGCCGTACATCAATTTGTGCGCCG